GTGAAGTCGATTTCGAGGTGCTCATGCCACAGACAAGCAAACAAAGTGTCGGCTTAGCAAAAAGGGAATAGCATTTCAAAGGAGGCTGGTCAGCGCTGGATATGAATATATTGAAGCTCTCTACCAATAGGCATGGCCTGCAAGCCTAAAAATCCAGTATTTTGTCTTTGAAACGTACGGAATGGATACTTAGAAAGAAACCATACTTTTCTGAATTCTAGGGAAAGTGAAAATTGTCGGAGTTTCACCATTAGTCTCTGCCATGATCACAGTAGACTTTACTACTTCACAGATGCAGCGAAGAGACATTTTTTATGGTTAACTTGAGAACCTCTAGCGAAGGCGGAACGTGACCTTACGGTGAACTCGTAATGTGTAAGAGAGGATTTCACGATAAGGTCGCAGGTCGAAGAAGGGAAAACCCATCTAGACAGGCGCTCTCCCAAGGGTAGCGAAGGATATGCCACCGGCGATCTAGCATGGCAGTCTATCGACGCGACACGCCCACCGACTGGCTAACCGCTGCGTTTAGCAGAAAGAGAAAAATCAGTGCGGATCAACGAACGAGGAATCAACGACCCACTTATCGGGATCTGAGCCGTTTCTAGTAGTTTTTTCTGCATCGCGGTACCACAGATGGGAATTCTGTAGGCTGCCCTCTCATCGTAAACTCCACCTTCGGACAGGGTCACCTATGTTGCTACAAATAGCAACGGGGGGGGTCGTATTTTGATAAGGTTGTAGAGGGGGGGTCGTACTTGCTGCCCCCCCCCCCGCTCGACGGCATTTTTGGAGGAAAAAGTGGGCGGGGTTTTGATGGAAGATGGAGATGGTGGAGGTAGGGAAAAGGGGGTCGTATCAAATCCACGTTGGGGGAGGGGGGTCGTAAAAATTTTCGAAAAGTAGCACAACGATAGGACCGACCCTGCCCTCGGACCCTTGTGATCAATCCAGCCACTGATGTTCTGTGTATGATTGTCCCGAGATCGCACTTCTCACCTGCTGTAACGTCTTTATTTAACCAATGCGTGCGAATGGAGTAGAATCAAGTTATAAAGAATTCTTTTCGCACTCCCGTCACAAGTAGCCGATTCATGGAAAAATTTGGCATTGCTTTGACCCTATTGAGTTGGAGCAAAAATCTTTACAACCTAAGACGTCGGAGTCTGATGGCCACATAGCACGTTACGCGGATTGGCTTCGATGGCAGAGCACAGCTAGTCAAATTCGATACCGATGGCCTTCTTAAACCAGGGTTGTTTTTCAATGCCGCAAATACCCATCGAGGGAGGCTTGACCGTTCTGATACTGCACGATGGACTACGACAAAAGATGTGTCGTAGAGCAGATGTTTTGTTTGGCTTTGCCCGCATTGCGATCCGATGCAAGATCATGAAGAAATGCTGAACAGCTATGGCTCTCTTCTTTTCTCATTCTGAACTCGAAAAAAAAACGGCTAGAGAGAATGCAATTCGGTTTCGAATTACCACACTTTTTGTCTCTACTTTGCGTCTCTACAGCTCACGTAAATATAATTACAAGTCGATAGAGAAGCTTTAACATTAGATTCGAAAAATGCGCACAAACGTCTGGGACAATCCAAATATAATCATACCATTTTTGTGACAGCGCAAATTTACACCACTAGAACTTCAAATGGACGGCATTAATTTCCTGCACTCTTACGCTTTCAAATGCTGCTCCATGGAGTGACCCGTGGGCACAGAAACTGGAAAAAAAAGTCGCCTTCAACGCTCATCACTCGATCAATTCGTCGTTCAAATTGTTGGGAGTACAACAATGCAAATTCAGAAAACACAACAATACATGCGCTGCAACAATACAGATTGGAATGTATCAGATCCTTTCAGAGTTACGATTTGTGGGTCGCAGAGTCGCTGATGCGTCCAGCGATTCAGTAATGGAAGATCCAACCGAGCACGTCGTCACTCAATTGACTCATATCATTATTGGTGAGGAAATATTGCAGTCATTAGTATTGCTGAATATGAGTTACGAGTTCTTAGTTCCCGATATCGTTGCTCATTCTAAAGGCACACCCCAACAACAATTTGTAGCAATTCCACCCAAGCACAAAAGTAGTGGGTTCAAAGGTTTAAAGTGGGTCGCTGGTAAGTTGAGCAGAGCTCAGGAAGCAGGCGGCGATTCAAAAGGAAGTGAGAGAATAGGTGGACCTACTAAGGGTGCGACGGACACTCAATTCGCATCGAAGAGTATGCTCCAGCATGGCCTTCCCTAGTAGTCCTCTTGGCCCGGAACACCCACCAACCGGCGCACTCTGGCACAGCTTGGCCGATGATGTGCTGGATGACATAGACGTCAATGAAGAGTAGTAATCACCTAGTGACTCCAAGACTAAGCTCAGGAGGGAAAGGAAGTCTCCCGCGCGGAAACGAACATTGCTCACAGACTGGAACGTCTCCCTCCCTCCTCTAAGGCTTAGTCCTAAATGTTTACAAAAGAGAATACGCTTTCCGTAATTTCAGGGCGTTGGTCCTTCATGAATCACTAATCATCTCTAAATTAATTTCTAATAAGCTGCTTGTTCGTCATAAAATTCGACTGCAAGCGTAGCAGATCAACGAAACGGCATAAATAGTGAACAACACGTCTGGGCGGACCTACCAAAGCAAAGCAACTTGTCCATAGCTTGGAGGTTTGGGGGCCCATCAAGGAGGTTTAAAGCATAGAAGCCTCTAGGTCACCAGTTTTTATGTTTCCACTAGGGATGCGCCTCGTACCATATTGCCTACTATCCCAGGTCCTTGCCAGGTTATCCGCTACGTTCTGAACTCATCATCATGGGATTTGCCTTTGAATAGTATTGACAATCTCAAAATGTTGTGGTGAACTCATGCCATAGTTTCAGATTGTTCGTCAATTCCTTATGTGGACTTGATGGGCAAAGATGCTCTTGCTCAAACGTATGCCGACTACTCGACGATCGACATTACCGTACTCATGGCAAACTGCAAAGGTGATAGCTGTAAAATGAGAAGAAGATTGGTCTCAGAATTTGGCTCCGGCGTCTGCGTCGCAACCAAGGACCTTTAAAATTTCACAAGCAGGCCACACCTCGAAAATCGCAAATACCATAGCCCCTCCCTTGCTTATTTCGGCCGAAGGGACGGTTAGGAGTGGAATATATGTAGAATGCGCAACACGAAACCTATTCCCACGTCAGGGACGGCGTTCGGCTTAGAGTACAGGCAATCAGTCTGGATTGCGAGGAGAACCACGTCTCAAGGTTTAGACTTTGAAACCGATCACTCTACGGCGCTGAGGTGTCGAATACCTTTAGGGGGGGGCTCCGGAATGGCCAATCTTGTTCCATGGGTCTTCAAATGGCGGAAAATGCCTTTAAAATGCCTAATACCTAATCTAGTAGCATTATGTAACCTCGAAACAATAACAAGGGAAAATTGGGCTTGAAAATTGGCTAATTTCCATTTCCTTCCATTTTGAGAAGTTGTGTACGTTTCATGTCACGGTATGGGTTGGACTGTAAGAAAAGACACATGAAAGACACATGTTCTACTAAGCATAATATATTTCAGTGGCAGTGCGACAGCTATTTGAGACCACGGACTTCTATCACAAGGTTCCGAAAAAATCGGATGTTTGTGAATGTGAATGACGCGGTGATTCAGGCACTGAAGGAGCAACGAGGACGTTTCCGCGAGCGCAACATCACAGTACGTCACAACCTTTTCCTTAAAGGCAAGATTCGGGATAAAATAGGTGTGGAAAAGCGTTCAGTTATGAAGCTATAGGTGGGAGGTGGTCTGTAAAAGAGAAGGAAAGCAAACGAAACCACCGATTACGCCCCGTACAGACCTCCCCTATTTCAGCCACATTCCACCTTGGGATAGAGAAGAGGCGAATTGGACGAGTTTCACGAACCTAACTCTACTTGCTCCAGTGTCAATAACATTGGATCGCGCTGGGACCACTGCCTCAAATGCGCCCGCGCTTTTCAAGCAGCGCCACGTGGCAACCGACAGCGAAGGGTGGGGCTTGCGGACGAAGGTGTGAGTTGCGGGTTGGACGAGCTCCTTGCGCCTTTGTCGCGCACTTTCAAGCCGCAAAAGGGGCCCGACATCAACACTTGTCCACCTGCCTACTACCCCTGGATGGAACAGGCGAGCCCGCCTATCGCGGAGCGTGCCTTCAAGAAGATACATGACAGACAGCCAGAATATAACTAGATAACAATTTTTCCGGCAGCGATGATCGAGCTACGCCATTTCGCAGTATCGTCAGTGTTATATGGGTAGTGAGATTCTCAACATGAGGCTAGAGGTTCTGAAGAACGTTGTAGAAGAGGCGCGAGAAGGAAAATGAGCCGTCGAAGATAACCGCTGCGCGAAGCGTGAGTTGAGCGCGGAGACATCGACTAAAACAGGTGGCCTATACGACATCCATCCTAAGGCGTGGCCAAAAGCTTTTTTCTTACTCGACGCCATCCGCCTTCCCTTACAAAGGAATTCTTTCAGGACATGGAGTGCTTTTCCGAAAGATTCTCAGCATTTTGTAGCGGCTCATGCAAGGAACTCAGGACCGTGATCCATTTTCCTGAACGTCTCCAGGAATGCCAAAACAGTGGTGAAGAAATGGCCCAGAGTTCGATCCCCAGTGATGACTAATTTTTCCAATATGACCCCCCAGATTGACGCCAAATACGCCATCATCGAGACTATAGACATCATTGTCGTGTGTTGCGGCAAGTTGGGGGCGCCAACATAATTTGCAAAAATTTGTCATCACGGAGGATGAACCATTGACCATTTTCCCCCGCTATTTTGACATTTCCGGGACCGTTCAGGAAAAATGGACCATGGTTCTGTGTTCCTCACATGAGCCTCTACAACATTCAGAAAACCATTAAACGCTCCATGGCCTGAAAGACCCCCTTGTAAGCCTTTCTTGGGGCAAGTTTGGCACGGCCAACGCTCCTACGCAGTGGCCCTTCCTTCTCCTGCCATCATTTCGTTCAACTACACTGGTGTGCAAAACTTAAGGACCAGATAGATAAATTGTCCTAACTTATTAACAATTAGATGGAATTGGATGAAACTGTACGGGCATAATGCTAGAAGCCCTACAGTCATGGGCACCGAAGTGGGCCTCATATGTCTTGCATCCGGCTTCAATCTGGAGCCTAAATGGGGTGGCCACCCAGAACGATGGGTATCGTGGGGCAGGACAAGAGGGGTGAACTAAGCAGGGAGAAGTGACTGTGGAATGTAGTGGTGTTCTTGATTACATCAAGTCTCAGAGACAACACTAGGGTGACTTTACGCGAGGAAGAATCATTGGGAAACTGAAAAAAGGAAGTTGTGTCCAGGAGTTTTGTGTCAACCACAGCATTGTTTTTTGTGCATGAGAAGCAATGTGGACCGCAGCCACTGCTGTCCCAAGAAGAGGAGGTTGTGGGTCACGAACAACCGCAGCAGCAGGTGATTGCTAGGTTTTGCTACAGGCAAAAATGGACCCACGTCAGTCACATGCTGCAGTTGCAAAAACATTTATCAGGATTGTAAGGCATGTAATCCCAGTCCGGACAGTGGCGCAGTGACCGCCTAGGAGTGATCTCTCTCATCGATCAACAATACCTGTATTCATTTGAAATCCACGCCTCGGCTGGGACATTTGGTACGAGCCGAGACATTGGAGATGGACCACCGAATTGAAAAATCGCGTATTCTTCCCGGTCAAGAGCAAACTGAATGTGAGTAGTAGTGATTCTGGACTTACCTGCATATGGGGAAAATAGGAACGTGTAATCTACCCAGGACCATCGTTTAACATGATTGTTTTGGTAGTGCATGCGACATGATGTGGGGAGGCATAAAGTTGTCGGGGCGTACTGATCCCCAACTCATGATCGCGTTACACTTTCTGATCAACGTGATTGTGGTGTTGTACCCTTCTGTCATGTGCATCTTTCCAAGGGTTCCCTTGCCCTCAGCTTCAATCGTATGGAGGGCAGTGTGCGAGAGTATCGAGCAGCCTGGGTGGAAAACTCTCTTGAAAGTGAGTGAGGATTTTCGGTAATTGGTGAAGCCATTTATTTCCTCCAGTCTAATTCTATGGAGCACGTGTGGCGTGGATTCAGATGAGCTATTGTAGCACATGACCATGTGCCAACAATAGTCCTGCAGTTGTCAATCGCGGTCTCCAAGGAATCGGTCACTTCTCCTCAAGAACTCTTAACTAATCTTACGGCCTGTATGGGAACACGTAGCAGAGCATACCTTGCAGTCCGTAGTGTTCATACACCCCATCAAGAACCAGCTCCTCTCTTTTGAGTGTCTACCATGAGTTGGAGAAGCCTCACCTATCGACCGCTTCAGACAGGGTATTTGCAGAAAAATGTCTTTTCCAATCGCCCCTTTGCGCTTTTCTGTTAGTAACTCTCTGCACTGTACCGCAACATTTACTTCTATATATGTGCCAAATTTGGTCCACCTAGGTTAACTAGCAGTGAGATATCATGTGAAAGTTACTTCGGTCCTTAAGTTTTGCACACCAGTGTATTTTCGAAATGCACTTTCAAGTCGCGAAAGACGAGCAGAGTAAAGGGTCGAGGAAATGACTGGATGGCAGCTAGGCTGTTTCCTCATCTACTTCTAAGTAGGTACTATGGGGTTATGGGTGGGGGGGACAGGTAAACCTGCTGCGTCGGTAAGTTCGCATATTGCAATTTTTCACGCGTGTTGGGCGACTCATCGTCCCTGAGTTGGCTGCATTTCCTGCGGCTCACACATTTTTTTGCTTCCATTTCTTTTTATTTCGCTGGAATCGCGCTAAAAGCGGACCGGCTGATTGGCCCGTAGTGCAGCAGTTTGAGCGATTTAATGAGGAAAATAAAATTGCTTAAAAGTAATTCGTAAAGCACAGCGAATACGGCGGATTGTCCTTGTAGACACCATAACATGCGGATGTAGTAGTGTATTCATCACCCAAGACCTGACCCTCGAAGAGATCCCTTCCTCGTTTAGATAGATGGCTCTGATACTCGCGCCGATGCTTCCAAAGCTCCAGTTGCACTATCACCAGCTCCACGCACTGTCATCAGCAATGTGAAGGAAGAGCAAGAAGAAGTGACTCAGGATGCCGGTACCAATGAGAATTATTTTCTGAGATCGTGAAGCAATTTTTGAAACAGTTCTATTTCAGCCTCGGTAACCCTTTCCACACAACGGGCCGATCTTTCAACCACCATAAAGAAGACAAGCACCAAACTAAAGAAAGGCGTTTCGAAAGCAGACAAGAAGAAAAAGGAAGAGTCTATAGGGGACAAAAAGAAAAAGGAGGAGTCCGTGGGGGACAAGAAGAAAAAAGGAGGAATCCGTGGGGGACAAGAAGAAAAAGGAGGAATCCGTGGGTGACAGGAAGAAAAAGGAAGAGTCCGTGGGGGACAGAAAGAAAAAGGAAGAGTTCTCGGGAGACAAGAAGAAGAAGGAAGAACCTGCGAAAAAAGAAGAAAAGAAAAAAGAGGATGGGAAAAGGGTATGAATCAGTTATTACGATAGCCTCTGGAGGGCTTTGAGGGGGATGTGGGGTTCTCAAAGGCACGCCAACGGTGAAAAACGACGATACATCCGTCAGGAAAGCGCAGAACGAAACCCCATTGTTTGAACGTTGAATTTCGCTCATGGTCGGCAAGGAGAAGACAGCGGACCTTTGAACGAGTCTACCGTAACGCGTCCTATGGCGCCATGCCAAAACAGCTCCCGGGGTTTTGTTCACTAGGACAGAAATCGGCTTTGCACGCGGAAACATTTCAGAACGAACGTTCATTTCACCTCTGAGTCGTAGTGTGACCGCGAAGTTCCCGCGAGCGAAAAAATCAGTGGGCCGCAGGTCCAGCGAAACAGGCTTGCCCTGCGAAGCGCGAAATAGGCAGTTCTTTTCTAGTGAAGTCATTTGCTGCAAGCAGCTGGATTCCGACTAGTGAGTGGAGCATGAAAGTCGCAGCGTTAATCCTAGTACGTTTATTTCTTCTCGTAAATGCGCTACATCACACTTTCGGGCAGAAAGAATACTGCTTCGTGTGGCCCGGTCATACTTCCGTAGGCGCTCCCGTTTTATGTAACTTCTTTAAATCTGTGAAATTTCGTAATTTTCTCTGATTATTGAAAAGTATGTCCAGCTGCACACCCTACGTATAACCTATATCCCTACAAGGTGCGCTATCCTGGCGTCTCAACTGCGAAGAAAGGTCGTTCGATGTGTCCGAAAAGCCCAGCGTTCCTTTCTAAGCGATCTAAGGCCTTAATATCTCCGTAAACGGAAACAGGTGATGTTCAGATTCTCTGGCGAAGACCATTTGCGAAGACTTCACGAAAACCAGATATAGAAAAAACTCAATGATTACCTTTCTGCTATTAATTTTTAAGCCTTAATAAAGACTTATAAATTTGAAAGCTATGTATCAAAGAAGGGCAGAGGTACATAGCGAAGGTCCCCCTGTCGCCAGCTAACCAAAGTATTCATTCAAATTAAGAGGATTCCTCACGTCATGATGCGAAAAGCTTAGTCCTGTAAGGCGGCTGAGCCGAACAAAATGTTTCTATAAAACTGAGATAGCGAGGTGAAATAACCGATCCCGGCAGCTCTCTGCTTATACGGCAAACTGATCCTGCTACTAGATATAAAAAAGACCCAAAGTTTGTCCGTTTGTGTGTGTCACGGAAATAATAGCGATCGTATTTTGTAATACGATGGAGGGGCGAGACGGGAACATATTTTGTGGGGAACAGAAAGTGATAGCAGCCGGGGCTCTTGAGAGACGCCCGAATGTAAATGTCGCAAATTTCATGGCGCTCTCAGCAAGAGTGAGTCGTTAGTTGTAACAAACGATGTAGAGGGTGGGACGGGAACATTTGGTAAAAGGACCGAAAGTGGTTACAGCCAGCCAAAGCCGACAAGAATTGTCATCAGGAACCTAGAGGTCACAGAAAAACTGGTTTCTGTCAGGTTGAGTCATAAAATCGTGCTGATTTCTTCGTATCCGCGCCATCTTGCCCAAAAGTGCTGTTCCCGTACAGGGGTTCCGGAGTGCGTAGTCTACCCGAACAACAAACATCAGTGGGAAGGTGCAGCTCAGCAGCGACAACGAGCCCCAATAGGTGAACTTCACCCGGAGTAGGTTCCGCTCTCCGATTGTAGGATTGCATCATTACAGACTTCAAACAATACCACCACTGCTGGCGCAGACACCTACTGCTTACAGCTGGAAACTTGCTTCGGATATCGCAAAGTTGAGGCTTCCTATACATGAATTGTTCCACTGCGCAGCACCACCCGCATGAAACGAGGGAATGCCAGAAACAGAAATCTGGCCTCATAATTTGACCCCACTCTTTAGAATGCACTAACCATAAGTTATAGCAACCAATCACCAGTTGTTCCGCTTGCTTGCTCGTTTCCTTAACGAGAAAAACTACGAAGATCGCGAACACCTCAAAACAGACATCCACTGATTCTTGACGTCGAAGATTGCGTAGTTCTGTGGAAGAGGTAACCATTTCCTTGCGGATGGATAGACTGCTGTGGTAAATATAGCATGACTATGGCATACTAATACTGATATGGCACTTCATCGAGATGGTTTACAGGAAAGTTGTGAATTTTTGAATTTTTCTGTCAAATCGGCACTTACTTAAAACTCATCCATACATAAGAAACACCCTTGGGGCCGTATGCTACCCCTGAAGGGGTTAGGGGACGAAAATTCCTTTAAATTTTCTCTGTCTTCCCAACTGGGATTGCCCTGATAAAGGCCTACATTTAATGTATGTATGTAGGTAAAAGTAAACATGCACTGAAAATGAAGAAACTATCGTTCAAAACAAATAAATTTAAAGGAAACTTTGCGTCACCTAGCTTCGGGGAAGGATAGCATACGGCCCCT